TTAGTTGGAGGGAAACAACATTCCTCTTACAGTTCCAGTCTTCATTAGAAAATAAATATCTAAAAACATTGATGTGACCAATTATTTTAAGCAAGGGAAAAGTCTGGAACATTCTGTGGTGACTAGGGTATCATCCAAATGCCTTGTTATTTATACCTGGAATGGAGGGGCAGCTACCCTTTCTCCATGGTCCTCAATACAAAGCCCTCTAACTAGAAGAGGGCTGTAATTTGCTGACCAAAGGAAAGCAGGAAAAGCTGCTACTGCCAACATGCCAGGGCACAGCAAAGTTAGTAATTCAGATATTTTGTCAAAATGATACTAACTTCTTTATAAAAGCTAGATTTCTAAAAGAAATTGTCCCTGGACTCTTAGGATTTCTAATAAAAACGTATTCTTCTAAAAAAAAAGTCTAGGATAAAATCATACTATTATTTGATCTTTCCTGTTAGTAGTGATTTATCATAAGCTAACTTGAATAAAATTTTCATCAAAAGTTAGCTCAGATTTTCTTCCACTGCCGCTTCTTTTCACTTCTTAGAGCTGACATCTGTAATAAAGAAAAGTATGTCAAAGAGGCCTGTCTGCTATGGGGTTTAAAGGACATGGAGACACTGACTTCACAGACAGCAGAGTACCAGGCTATTGTTACGTTTATCCTAGAGGAGTTCTGATCATACAATGAGCATCTCCGATATTCATTCTTGCAAAATAAGTATTCTACATTCTCACTAGTGGAGCCACACAGGGAGGGAATGTCTTTCTTCTTTTTTCTTGTCCCTTTTGATGATGTTAGGTGGTCAGGGAGAAAAAGAAGGGGAGAGGCTCTCAGTCATCACACGTGGAGTGTCCCACAGACACTTTCAGTAGGAGTGCGTCTTGTTCCTACACCAAGCAAAAGTCATGTTTGCATAAGAAAGTAATGCATAAAATATTCAGAGTCAAAAGAAAGCGGATATTTAAATAAACTTTGCATGAGTTAAAATTTGAGATACTTCTTTCCACTTCCCACTTGGTTATTTGATACTCATACCTGGTGATATTTCCTCCAAGCCATGAGCTTTGCTATTCTTTCCACCACATCTTCAACACTCGACCTACCATTTTTTTATCTTAAATCAAAACCTTGGCGAAAAAATTCTTAGCTAAGGAGTTGTCAGAATAATGATGAACCCACAGCTCACTCAAACACTTAAGAGATTTTGAGGAAACTTTAAACTCCAAAAGTTTATGATTTGAAAAGTTCAAAACATTGTATCATGTGCTACCTGATAACACTGAGCTAGCTAAAGTTCACTTGGGACCTGGTGATATTTCCATATCTGGTATTTATCAGTTCATAGCTAGAGAAGTAAAATTTATGTGAACTGGGTTTACCTCTCAAGCATACTCTCCATATGATGACCTGACACAGGTGAAAATCTTGAAGTTGGGCCACTCCCCAACGGTGCAGGCAGGAGCATGTCAAGGGTTCTTTGCTGGCACCACACTTGGGCATCACACCTAGGCCTTTGCCTCACTGTTTTCTGTGTAACTCAGAGTGAGTGGATTTCTGTCTGAGTATTGTTTTCTTCATCTGTGCATTAAGCACCTGGGATTGTTCTGAGGAATGAGACTGTGTCTTTAATTATTTGCTGTACTATACATAGTAGTTCCCTCATACATCGTGAGCCACTTTAGAGATCACAAGTATAGCTAGACATGCAGTACAAATAAATGCTAAATGGAAAGTATGGGGAAACTAAATTCTTCCATCTGGCAGAGGAGAGTGGCAAGGGATAAGAGGAAGGAGACAATTTAACTGCTTCTAACAAATGAGAGGAAGATGGAGAGCAAACTTCTTTATGAATGTGATTCTGGTTGATGACCTGGGACAGAGCATAGCTGTCAGACAGAGGATATTAGCAGTCTGTGTAACACATATCATTTCTGGTTCAATTGATGGAGTTTGCCAAGTCTTGACTACTGAGCTTGGATTTTTAATTTTACTTAAATATAAATAAGTGAAATTTCTATTATATTATGTAGTGATGATGATGATGATGATGATGATGATGATGATGATGATGATGGAATGGTTGAGTATAATGTAGTGCTCATTATTCAGACTCATTTCTCATATTCTTGAGAATTATGTGTTTGTCTTTGTCCCTAGAGACAATGCCAAAACCGTAAGGCATCAGAGGAGATAAGAAATGGAACCTAGACTTCTGTATTACACAGGCTTTTGAGATTTCTTGAGCACTTCTTTTCTACTTATAGTAGAGAAAATATCTCTACCAGCTTCACAGATATGGGGATGATACTCAAGAGTGGCCTATGAACATCTTTAAGCCCTTAGGGGTGGGGACAAGTACCACTATTGGCTAGCTACAAGCCAAGGGACATAACTAGATGCATTCTGAACCTGGAAGAAAACTCTTTATCAGATCTGGCCTATCTCATCCTAGACATATTACCTGCACATTTTCTTCCAGCAAATAGATAACATCTGTCTTCTTCACAGAGTATTTTATGTTAGAGGCAAAAGTTTAAAACCTCTAAAGGCTTTAATTTTTTATATGAACAGTATGCTTAACAATTACTTTAAAGAATTCAGGACTTTGCTTTTAATGGATTGTAATTGTGGTCAGTGAGATAATATATAAACATAATTAATTGAAAACAATATTAACTATATGAAGGCACAAGAGAAGCATAACCAAAATACTTGAAAAGTTCAGAATATAAAGAGAGTCCCATTTTCTGGAGAAAAAAAGATAATGTGGACAGCAGGTCTTCTGAGGGCAATGATTGCTGAAATGTATAATTCTTTAGGGCAAGTGATGAGTTACATGGTTGACCTGGCAAGAGAGGAAAAGAAACTAAATTAAACAAAGTAGGTGAATGTATTCTATGGCAGATCTGACTTACTAATATGAAAAGGCCAAAACATCCATAATCCATTCATAGTTAGGCTGATTTTAGAAAGCATAGATTAAGCAAGTGTATCACTTGAAGTCTCAGAAGTGGATGGCAACAGAAATTGGAAATCAAGGCTTCTGACTGCAAACTTGGCTTACTGTTTCACAAGAGTGAAATGTTTCTGTATGGTAAAAAGAGGGTACCTGGGGAGTTACTGGTTTGTTCTTGATGAAAAACAATGCTTCTGAATTTTATATGTAATAAACAAGAGTATGTTGGCTGACAATATTGTTTTCTGAAAGTAGTATGAATTTTAATGAAACAGCAATGTTGGTAATTTAGTACAATTATGTACGACAGACTCCAGCATTTTAGAGCCTCAAATTTCACTCTCTTGGAGGCTGCAAAAAGATCAGTCTATCTCTCCTCTTGTGGGACACAAATAAAAACCAAACAAGAAGTGAAAACAACTTTGTGATGTGGTGAAACAGAATGTAGAATTTACCACCTAGAACGAAGTCTTTATGGTTGTCCTGGCAGAAATAAATTCATTGAATTAGAAATGTGCTAGTGAATGCATGCAACTTGAATGTATGAAAGAGCCCAACCAGGAAAAAAGAAAGTTCTGTGTTCCAATGGTGGATTGTGCATCTGAAGGCAATTCAAATTTCCAGTGCCTTTTAAACATGTTCAACCATGTCAGACTGGCTTGATTTCCCATGAAAATATTCATGTAAATTATGCTTTAACTTGCACATGCTAGACATATGACAGGAAATGCTGAGTCAAAATGAAGCAGCTATTTCTTCATTAATATGTGAGAGGTATGATGGGCCAGGCATGTTCTGGAAAGTGTAGATCTAAGAAAGGAGCACCAAGAAAGAGCAATTTCAGTTAGAACCCAACTTCTAACACTCACTGGAGAAGGAAACTGCTCCATCACAAAATAACTCCTAGAGTGAAGCCTTTTCCAATGATTTTTGCTACTTTCATCGTTTTTAAATTTCTCTTGGTAGCATATATATTTCTGTCAAATCAAGTGCAATCAGCTATTTAGAGAACTGGGTAGTAATTTGTCTTTTTCTTTCTGTCAAAAATCTTACTCCAAAATCTACCATGAATACATGCTTAGCTACAAGCAGTTAGTGGATTAGAATACATGTTTGATTTGCATGTTCTCTGTACTTAGAGCCACATGGGGACTGAGAGTAATGTTTGGGTCTCAGGACGTTTTCACAGAAGCTGAAGTTGCACATAGGGCAATTACTGGGTCTCCAGTCCTTAGTTGATGGAAGGAGATTCCATGCAATATGTACGGGCCACCTCCCAGAAAAGCAAATCAGAATCAGCACCAAAGCAACCTGACCAAAAAAAGCAGACATGTTGGTCTTTCAACAGGCCATGTCTCACATGTCTATTCTACAGCAGCTCTTTGAGTGCATCAGTTTCTATCACTGGGACTAAGGAATCAACATGGTTTAGCTGAAATATTGAACAATTTGAAGTCGTACCCCTTTTCCTTTTCAGTTCTTTATAACCATTCTCCAACTAAACAAAGAAAAAAAGTGGTTTTTGTCCCTCACATTTTTGGTTTTTACTATTAGTTGCTGGTATGTCATTCAGGCTAGAAGTTGACTGGATAATAAAGGAAGCATTGTGACAGTACAATTTCTTCGCCTCCCCACCATGTACAACAAGTTTCAGGGCTTGTTCAGTTACTAGCATTGATAAATTCTTCTCCAGACATGAGGGATAAAAGCTTGAAAAGGGTCATACTCAGAAAGTAATGCCCCACCCCCCCCAAGAGGTGGCTGCCTCCAACACAGTCCTCAGCACTGAGCAGCACAGTGCTCTTAAGCTTTGGATTTCTTCCGCACTTTTACACTCACACTCTAGTGAAATAGGAAGTGTGCTCTCAGGGACAAGGGTGGGAGCAACCAAATGATCACAAGAAGTGGGATTCATGCCATTTCTTAAGGGAAACATGTTTGGATTCATTTGCTCTCTGAGTTCCCAGCCGTGGGATGGCATTGTGTAAAAACAAACACCACCAGCTTCTTGGGACTGAAATGTTTTGTATGTGTTGTTGTTTGCAGTGCATGCCAAGACATTCATGAGCACCAGAGCCAAGCTGGCGAGCTAATTAAATATATATATATATATGTATATGTTTAAAACAGCCTAATAAGGAGCATTGGAAATCTTCAAGATGAGCGAATATCTTATAACTTCTTCCGCAGGTGCGAGGATAGCTACAAGCCATGGACTTTCTGTCCTGCTTCTTGTTTGTGGCTTTGTGAAGGGTGCTTTGCTTTAATCTAAAGTGCTGACTTTTTTCCAATATCACTTTCTCTTCTTAAAGCAAAGAGCAAATCGCCTGTAAAATCTACGGAGCGGACAGCAAAGTTGACCCTAAACTCCAAGCACCATTCTGCACCCCTGTACTCTAGTTACCTACACAAGGAGCGTCAGCTTCCGGAAGCATAAGTGAAGAGGCTAACACATGCTTTATTGATAGTATTTTCTTTGGGAAGTGGCTGATCTTTTATTTGAAGAGAATTAATGTGAAGCGATAGGACATTTTCTAATAACAAGATCTATTTTTTCCTCTTCTTTCAACAAATAAAAATCTACATTTCACTGACTGCTCAAGAGTTGGCCTGAAAGTCATCAGTATAGTAAATACTTCCATGGATTTCACCAATTTCCTACCAAGGGACACCTAATCTGAACAAAGCAAACAAAGATGGAAAGCCTAAGAAATGTAAATTATCTTCAAACAGCACCCCAGCTGGGGGGAAAAAAAACAAAAACAAAACAAAACAAAAATTGCCGGACACTGCAAATCAACAACAGGCAACCTTTATTTTACATAAGGAAGAATCAAAGCAAGTTTTGGGTTGTTTTTTTTTTTTTTTTAAACTTCTTTTTCCCCCTTGGAATTTTTCTTGGAGTTTCCCTTCTTTTCCTCAATCGCCGTCCTTGTTCTGTGGTAGCAAGTGCCAATTATGGCCAATTCTAGTCAATCCTGGGAGGTTTATATTCATACATATTGAGTGTGCTATATTTCAATGTATTTTAATTCATTTTGCAATTTCTGTAATGCAAACCTGGCAAATTCTGTAAATTGCTTATAGTATGTGTGATGTGACCTCAAGGTAGATAGATATGACCCTCATGCAAGCTGACTTTCTTCATTCTATATACAAATATATACATGAGCATATATTAGGCTACCAACTTCTTTTCCTAAAGCATTCTTTTTCATCTGTAACTCATGTATTGTGTGAGTTTTGTAGCGTGTTTCTCTGTTCCACTGGTTTGACAACTAAGGTTTGTCTCTGTTGTCCTCTGCTTCCTCCTAGAAAATGCATATTTAAATTGTATATGTCTCTGATAAATGAATTACTTTTGTTGTGTGTATGCCATGTTGGAATTTGCTGTGTTCTTTTACATGTGTGCTTATTGAGGTTTGGGGATCTCGAGTCTGAAGAATGCACATCCTGGTTTTGACAGATCTTGTCATGTTATCAATATTCTATCTCAGAAATAGAATGAGGCCAAGTGGGAAAGCTGAAGAAGACATTTTGACTCCTCAGGTTCCTGGAAGAGCACTTCACACTCAGAGTAAATAACGCTGCTTCCTTGGTTCTTCAAGAATTTTTGTAGCTTTGTCATTCTGTTATTTGCTGCTAATTATATTTTAATGTCTACTAATTAAAATTTAAAATGTGATTGTTGGCTGAATATAATATGCAAATGACTGCAAAGCCCATACTGAAGAAGATAGGTGTTCAATCTTCACTCATTAATTATAATTTTAAATATTCCATGGTTATTTTTGACTTTATGATATTTTGTTTAGACCTATTCCAAATAAATCTTTCTCTGGTAAAGAAAGATACAACAACTAATACAATCCTTCCTCCAAAATATAATAGTTATGGTTTGAGAAAGAATGCATCCAGATAGTCTTCCAGAAAGATTACTTTATTTACATTTATTATAAATTCAGAACACCATCTATTTAGGAATGGCCCATTCCCAGCTTAAGGTCCTAAATTGAAGCTTAAAGGCTATGAATACCTTTGATTTTTTTTTTAAGGTAAAGGGCTGGACTCTGCCATTCACTTATAAGCAATGTGCATATTTTCATAACATTCTTGACATTTTCTTTTAAGAAATATTGCTTTAGGCTAAATCTTTCCTTGTCATTTTCTTGTTTCATTTGATTCATTATTTCATTCTAATGAGAAAAAATAAAGGGTTAATTGTGATACTTTATTAACATAAAAATGTATTTTCTTTCAAAGTTAAAGATCTGAAAGTTGTATAAAATGATGATAGGTAAATATTGCCTGTTAAGTCTCTTTGAGCTTTAAGAGTTCCATACATTGAGGCATATATTAATATACTGATTTAATGTCAACCAAACTGGAAAAACCATCATGTATTATATTTTTACTCCATGTCCAGTTAATGATATCAGCCAATTCTACAGTAAGCCAAACTTGTACCCATATCAGTAATGTTCACCATGCTTGTAATAAAAGAGCACATGCTAGTTTGGGAAGAATGCTCACTAGATTCATTGTATCAGTGTCCAAAGTAATAAAGACCTGTTTATCACTGTGTGACCAAAGTCCAGCCCATCATCCACTTTGAAAAGAGATTATGACATAGTATCTGTTTGTTCCAAACTCAAAAAAGAGTATGGAACTTTAAACATTAGAGCAGAAAATACAGCTGTCAATGGGAATTTCTAAACATCTGAACACTATATTATATTCCTTTGGGACTATAATTTTTATGTAGCCATGACTATGGAAGTGAATAGAAATGCAAAAGTAAAGTATCTGGCTTTCTCAACCTTGTTTTCAAGGTAATATAGTACCTTTTATAAGACAGAGTTATAAAAAGCTGAAATTTCTTACATGAGTTTAAGTTAGATACTTTATTCCTTAAAGACTTTTGGGCAGTTAACAAAGTGAAGGAGGCAAATGAAATTACTCCTGAACAAAAGAAAATAATAGAATTCTCCAGAACAGAAGCTGTAATCTGAGTTAGTAAGTAAGCTTCATAGGGTCTAGGAACGCGCCCTGTTTACCGTCAGCCCTACATGTCCTTAAACAGCACACTGTAGCAACCATCTGTGTGGTGTTTGTGCTGTATTAGGCAAAACAATCAGAGATGATTTAACGTACAAGAGGCTATGTGTATCGTGTTCAAAGACTATGCCATTTTATCTAAAAGACTTGAGTACTCACAAATTCTGATAGCCAGTGATTGGCTTGTACAGCCATCTATCTACAAGATGCTAGGTGGAGAGCTATACATGTATGGTTTTACTGATATTCATTTTATGGAGATAGTCCTTGGCATGAATTACTTCTGAAAAGCAATTTAATTGTGATTTCCTTGCCTGAGAAAGAAATATATAAATGATTTTAAGAACCTAAGAAGTCCTCATTACTATGTTTTTGAAGTGGTTTACCTTGAAGTTCTCAGAAACAAAGTGTTCAGAAAAATATATTAGTATACACACATATACACATATTTGGCAAATAAAATGTATATTTTTAAGCCTAGAAAAATTTTTAAATTTATTATACATGGGATGGAATAATAAATATAGAGTAATATTTGTTGACTTTTTACAACAGATGCTAATTAAAAAAAAAAAGGAATGGTGGCACATTCCTGTAACCACAAGACTCAGGAGGTTGGAATAGGAAAAACATGAGTTCAAGCCCAACCTGTCTACAATCTGAATCATTAAAAAATAAAATGTGCTAGTTTAATTTTGCAAAAAAAAAATCCTCACACAGATATTATTCCTATATTAATCCTATATAGGAAATAAAATATTGACTGTGGTGTTAATTTGTATAAAAATAATCACAAGAGGTAAAAGCAATCTTCCTTGAGATAATACATAAACTGATGATTGTATCATAGAATTAAGACTATGAAGTTAAAAACTGAATGCTCTAAGTTTCAAGTATTTATACCAAGCAATTTTATTTTTAGAACTGTTCATTAGTAAAGGGAGTTCTCTGTCATTCAGGAAATGTCAGCCATGATATAGATAAGTTCTTTCCCTGTATGTAGTGAGAGACAAGAGGAAAGCATTCAAAAGCAATAAAATGTGTGATGCCAATAATTTCTGTGAAGACCCAATCAGAGAAGATAAAAGGGAGTGACTGGGATGTCACAGGAGGTTACTCTAGGGGTGCAGTTATGCAATCCTAAATGATAAGAAGCAGAAGATTTGGGAAATGTATCTTCAGGGAGAGGGAATATCCCATGCCAAACACCTGGAGCAAACTTCAGGTAGAGTTGTCCAAGGCATAGTCTGTGAACATGGGCATGCAGAGAAAGAGAGGCAGGAGAGGGACCTGAGAGAGCCTGAGGCAGGATTACATAAGGGATCTTCAGAGAATGCTGAGCCCTGGGGGAGCAAACAAAGCAGAGCTAGATCTTGCGAAGATCTCACTTCCAGGTTTGATTCTGCCCTCACAAGACAGGTTTTTTCTGCCTGAAGCTTAGTCAGTTAATCATGTTAGCAACACTCTTTGGGAAGAACACTGAAGTTTCCAAATTGTGTGTGTGTGTGTGTGTGTGTGTGTGTGTGTGTGTGTGTGTGTGTGTCTGGCTGTGTGTCTGACTGTGTGTTTGTGTGTGCATGTTGAGGACAGAGGAATATGCCAGGAGTCATGTTCTGTCATTCTCCACCCTCTATTCCCTTGGGACAGGGTCACTCAAGGAGCCTGGAACCTGGCTGGAAGACAGCACACCCCGGAATCCTCCCGTCTCCTGTGTTTACAGGCATTCTCAGCCACACCCACACTCATGCAGCATGTGATTTTAGGCACTGAAACTTCGCCATAGTCCCAAATTGGTTACTTTTATACTGATACTGTGGGAATTCAGGAGATGTGAGATATTAACATGTTTTAAATGCTAAAATACAGTTGAAACTTTTCAGGGGCAAGACAGGGAATTGAAAAGATAATTGGGACTGTTTGGAATATGGTAAGGAACTAATGACTGTAACTGCATTCATGATTTAAAATAAAAGCATGGGTACATTTGCCTCCCTCTAGTTTAAGCTATCTGCTGTTAGCCATACTTTAAAATTAGCCAATGGAAGCCTCCCAAACAATTCATGAATTTACAGTGTATGTTATTCTGAGTAGTGTAATAAACTGCACATCACTCTATGAATCATTCTTTTATTCAAGAACCACATACTATATATAGCCGTTAGGTACTTAGTAGCCATCCCAGTTAGCAGATGCACTGTGGTGGTACCCTGGGGCTTGTGTTCAACTGACCACTGTCACAAGAGAAGTGATGATAGCAATTCAGTTGTGACAAAGAGCACCTGTGAAATGCTTACTCTAAATAGAAAGATGAAATTTCTCAACTACATCAAAGATAAATACATATAGAAAAAACAGTCTGCATTATTCTGTACTACCTGTGACATCGGGCATCTGCTGGGGATTTTGGAACATATCCCACTCTGTAATGAAGAAGAGGGGAGGGACTGCCTTATTCTAATGGAAAGGGCAGACAGATTGGAAGAACAGATACTCCTAGACATTTATTGGAAAGACTGTCTTTTAAAAGGTAGAGAGAGGAGAATTTATTATGTCACATGTCCATGCATACCTATACCCACAGACTTATTTTTAAATATAAGAAATTAAGATGTTGGAGTTCTCCACAACCAAAATTTCAGAAGACAATAGAGTAAATGGTAAGGAGCTTGGAGCGCTAGCCAGGTGTGCATGCCTGGAGACTAGGCAGGAAGATCACAAGTTCAAAGCCAGCCTAAACTTGAAAATGAAAACCTTGTCTAAACAAACAAAATGGAAGATTATAGTGTTTTCAAAAGAAAATTTGTCTCAAAACCATCTTACATTGTATTGTATTTTCACTGTGAAAACAATAAAATCATTCTGAGGTAGACAAAGTTCTTTAAAAAAAAATAAGATGTATGGACTTTTTAAAGATTTAATTATGTGTGTCTGCGGTGTGTGTGTGTGTGTGTGTGTGTGTGTGTGTGTGTGTGTGTGTGTGTGTGTACATTTGAGTGAAGATGCCAAGGAAAGACAGAAGAGGTCTTTGACCCTCTGGAGCTTGAGTTACAGGTGGTTGTCAGCTGCCCCAAGTGGGTACTGAGCACCAAACTCGGGTCTTCTGTAATATCACTGCACATTCTTAACTCTTGTGTCATCTTGCCAGCCCCAGATGTGTGGACACTTACAAGCAATGCTTCCCCGTGTACCCCAACTGCAGCAATAATCAAACATAAAGCTATAAGTGAATACCTATAACACAAACTGTAAACCACAGGAAATTTGAAATTATGTTAAATATAAATTATAATAAAGTATTTTATTCTATTTCACTATATATGAAAAGATTTACAAAATAATACCATTATTTTGTTCATGCCTTTTAGTATTTTCAGTTTTGTTCTATTTTATTCATGTTGATTATCACACATTAATTTGACTTTACAGACATACTTTACAAAACAATCACAGATATATTTCATTCCAAAGAACAGTTCAATGACAAATATAATCTAAATTCACATTATGTTATTCAAAAATGGACAGTCAAAGATGAACCACAGACAAAGAAATGCTCCCAGTCCTGTGCTGGTGATTGTAACCAGGGCTGGGGTTCTCCTTCATGCTTGCAGTCTTTGTGTGTCTTCTGGGTTCTGTTCCAGGCTGCTAAGCTAAATCTAGTTGGCAGCAGACATTTTCCTGTAAGATTTCAGGAGCACCTGGGTGAGCAGTACCACAGCAATCAAGCCTGCTTCCATCCTACCCCTGGAAACATAGAAGTCAGCGCTTAGTCATCCTGTGACCTAGTTTGAATGGTGGATTGATTGTGGAGTCTCGAAGTAAGCAGAAGAATGCCTTTCTCAAATCTTCACTTGATTTCCATGACCTAATAAAAATCCTCCATTCCTTGAAAGCAGATGTCTAAACACTATAATAAAGTCATAGTCCACCACCAAAGTCATTATAAAGACACAGTCCCACCCAAGTCCACCAAAGTCATCATAAAGACACAGCCTCACTCAAACCCACCACCAAAGTCATCATAAAGACAGAGACCCACTCAAGACCACCACCAAAACCCTCATAAAGTCACAGCCCCACCCAAGTCCACCACCAAAATCATTTCACAGACCTATGGAAGAAAGCACTAATCCTAAAAATATTTTATGACCCTCCTAACAGAAATATTTGTCAGCCTTACTTGAAATTGAAGCTTTTTAAGAAAAATACCAAAAAAAAAAAGAGAAATGCCCATATCTTACTGGGTTCTCAGGCTGTGGCTCAAGACTACTACTACATTCTATGGGCTCTGGGGCACTCTACAGTGACTTGGGCGATATTTGATAGTTGTTATGGGCCTGATGAGGCCACTGTGTCTATGAGCAGTCATTCCTCCAGCTTGTAACACACAGTTGAAATATGTAGCTTTAGAAATGGAAAAAAAAATTCCACATAGATTTTTCTGTCCTACCAGGCAGTGACAACAATTCTAGAAAAGACCCAGAAATTTCTCCTCTATACCAAAATTGTCCACAGAAAACAATTCGTTTTTTTTTCTGAGAAATGAAGAACCATGATTCTATCAGCTACAAGGATAAGGCTTTCATATCTGTCCTTGGTGATAGGAAAGGCAGCTGAGTCTTGAGTATGGATAATCATAGCATAATCATGGGCTGCATACAATTATAGCTGCTGGTCCAGGTGTGGATTACTTCCTGGGGAAAATGAGCAGCATTCTCAACACCTGCCATGAAGTCAATCATTGAGTAACCTTCTACTTTATTGCAATTAGAATTTTAAAAAAGAAGATATTTTTAAACCTGGCAGGTATACAATTATTACCCCTTTATCACTTATTTCACCTCAAAGTTGCATTGACTCTTGGCCACACAGTAGTCTGCTTGGCCAGATCCTAGGATAATGTACTAAAGACATTCAGAAATCAGGAAAATATAGCACCCTAGAGGCCTCATAATACATATACAGCCTGTAAGATAGTAGATAAGCTCTATAAAAATATGGGCAAGAGTTGGCTTCAAATTCATCTTTAAATACCCAGCAAAGTATTAATTCTACTCTTCCACAAACTATCACAGTGAATACAGAATTATCATACATTCCCCAATTCTGTTGGAAGACCTTACTGGTCAGAGGCCACAGTCTGTCATGGCCTGGCAGCTTTTTCCAAAGCCTGAGGACATGGGAACTCCCTCCCCAGGGAGACTTCCTGCTCTCTACCTGCCCTTATCTGGAGTATGTTCCTGGGCATGGAAGACCGACCTTATCTGAAAGCTGTTTCTAAGCCTGGATACCTGATTTATCTTTAGCATGACCCTTGGCACAGTTCCCTGCTGGAAGGCTCCCCTGCTGCACATATAGTAACTAAGATTTATACTAAGAGCTTTACTATTGGACCCTACTGTCACATAGGAAGCCTTATGATAGGAGCATGCCACTTAATGCAAATTAGGTGATGCCCCAGCCACTGCCCCCAGCCTTTATATTACCTTTTCTTTCTGGAATAAAGCAGAGTTGTAACATTTAAATCATTTCCCCAGAGCACTGACTCACAAGCCGTCCTACCCTGTTCACTTGCTTCGGCTCCCTGCCCCCTCACTTAGGGTGGCTGGCAGTCACAGAAAGAAGCAGAGCCACAAGTTCATTTGGGAGACTAACATTAACTAACTAGAAAATTTGACGATGACAGTGTGAAAATAATGGAAATTACTACTCATTCTAGCTCATCACTATAGGTGCTAAAACAAGAACAATAACAAAACAAAACCAGCAAAATACAATAATCATATAAAATAAACATGGTACATTCTAGAAGTAAATTGGAAAAGCCACCAATGGCATTCTCCGCAGTCTTAGAAAAGATTACTGCAGAGTAGACACAAGATGAGAGCTTGTTTCTAATTAATTTATTTAGCAAGTTCAGGACCATGCATAGAAGAAGAAGAAATACAAAGACAGAATATATTAGCAAAGGTATTTCACCTCATGGGGAACCACAGATAGTATAAATTCCACTGTCCTTGTACAGAGCACAGCAAGTCCTTCCAAGACTACATTCAGTAAAAGAATTGCAGACTTTGACAGCTGGAGATATGTTTGCACATAATGAACTGCTAAGGTAGATATGGGCCATGGCAGTTCCTGCTGCAACAATCATTCCCACAACTGATGAGAAAATCAGACATATATCCTAGAGAAGGAAAAAACACATTTGATGAAGTTAAATATTTGTTCTTGATTAGATACTTGCCCTTAATAAACAAAAATGAAGAACATACCAATGATGTTCAGTTCCTATATCTATGGGAAGCATTTATCTAATGAAACCTAGTCAAAATAAAAGCATAGAGGACAAATATAGGAGAGCATACAAACCATACATTTGTTTACCAAAGAGAAACTGGAAAGCAAAGATAAATAAATAGATAAATAAATAAATAATAAGGACTATGCACATAAATTATCCATGAATTATGGATGAATTTTAAAGTGATTTTTTAAGCCATAAAGAAATATACATATTCTGGTTTAATTTGCAGATTTCTGGATTCTCTCTCTCTCCTCTCTCTCTCCCTCTGTCTGTGTGTGCATGTGAGTTTGTGGAATATATACCCATGCACACTGGATTCCTGTTTTTATTTTTTCTAGTCAAATAGAAATACAGCTGAGGAGATTGTTCCATTGGTAAAGTGCCTACCATGTGAGCACAAGGGCCTGAGTTCATATTCTCAGAAGCTGCATTAAATGGCATATGTCTGTAAATCCCACCCTGAGAGGGCAGGAGGTAGATTCCTGAGCTCATTGGCTACCCTGTCTAACTGAACCCATGAGTTTGGGGTTCAATTAAAGATCCTTTCTTAAGAAAGAGAGAGAGAAAGAGAGAGAGAGAGAGAGAGAGAGAGAGAGAGAGAGAGAGAGAGAGAGAGAGAGAGAGAAGACACCTAACATCACCTACCATGGGCTTCCACACATATTTCATATCTGTGCATATGTAACCACAAGCTCACACACACACACACAAGAGAGAGAGAGAGAGAGAGAAATAGAATCATGCAAATTAAATCAGACACTGAAGCAAGTCTGAAAACGCTTTCCCCTAGCAGAGATTTCTGACATCTTATCCGCTCCACTACTAAAAGTAGGTGTGCATTTATGCTTCCCTGCGGATTCTGAAAAAATATGTACTACCATCAGATGAATATTTGGTTTGGTTTGTTTTCTGGAGACATGGAAGCTTGCTATCTTTCAATCAATGTAAACCAGAAGAAAAAGGATCATGAACCTGGCCAGAGTCATGATAAAAATATGATAGGGTAGGTGCTATGGAGTTCAACATGTCTCATTAGCAATAATGACAAACTATCCAAGGCCACTGAAATCTTCATAAAAACATGACTGAAGACAAGAACACTTTTGTATCACAGTCCTGTGCTCTGCATCAAGTAACTGACCTACCTTAATAAACACCATAGCACTGTTGTTTGTTAAGAAGTAAATAACAAACAGTAGGTAGATGTCAAGGTACACATAGTTTTCACAAATAGGTACAAGCCTCAGAGTATCTATTCCTATAACACTGTCAGTCCTGAGGCAGTCTGCTCTATAGCACTGTGAAAACTAGCTATTTATGA